ATGTTTAGTAATGAAAAAAAAGGCTCATCCTTACTAAATATTTTAGGTAAATATGAAACACATCGTTTTATTAAACAAAGAGAGAGAGAGAGATAGGGTGCGCAAATTACGTGAATAAAAAGAGGGGTCATTCCCTATTCCCCCACTCAATCATTGAAGAGCTGCTGCACCCCCCCTTAACCCACTGTGTCGCCCCCAAGCTTTCACACACCACACTTTACCAAAATTTTGTTGCCTACTTTGGTCTCTCACATGTTCTCTCTTTTTCTATGTGAGTATGCATTCTTTTACTTTAATTCATCCTATTGGAATTCTAGAAAAATTCTTGTAACCCATTTATTTATTTTTTTCTTTCATACAGATAACTTTGGTTGAATTTTTGGAGTTAGAGATATTGCTCTCAAGAAAAAAGGGTGTTACCCATTTGAGAAGAGATTCCTATTTGGGTTCCAAAAGTATGCCCATAACTCGAATACATAGGATTCTTGTGTTTTGGCTTGGTTTTGGCAAGTTCTTATTTTTAGAGGATTTATATTTTGAGCTTTGAATATAGATCAAAGAATTTTGTTATTAAAGTTAATTCTGATTCCCTTTTAAATATTATTGGTATTCAAAATTGTAAGCTTACATTTTTCTCATAGTTCTGGAGTAGTCTTATGAAAGGAGTTAATTGGTTTTCATTGGTTGTGAGTGGATAATTATCATAATGACTTATTTTAATTATTACTCTAATTAGTCATTATATTATTACTGTCATAAATTTGTTCTTGAGAGAAACAAATTCTTAAATTTGTTTCTTGATCATATGAAAGTTTACTGGAAAATATATTTCATTTAATTATTTAGAAAAGTATGAAAGTAGATATTATTTTAATTTTATTTAATGGTATTTAATTATGAGACACATGCATTGAGACTCTTATTATTAAAAACAATTTGATTTGTGTACAAGAATGACTTTTCGTTGTATAAACATTGTGAGAGGAGCTATGTTAGAATCTTGTAACCGTTAGTGAAAATAACCATCTAGATGCACCTAGTTGAATCCCAGGAGGAGAGAGCTACCCGTTAGATGGAGCTGCCAATGTATGGAGAGGGATATCAATAAGGTGGAGCTGCCCCCATCAAGATTAATTACAACATGATGTTTGCCAGGAAGGAATTACCTATTAGATGAAGTTACCTCTAAGAGAGAGGCCGCCCTTGAGAGGAGAGAGCTATCAACGAGGTGGAACTGTCTTGAACTTTGCTTCTCCCATGAGTGGCCCTTATAACATTATACATGTCCACCTTAATAATGTTCTTAGAAAACTAATATTATTAAACTCTGGTATATGTTAAGATAATATACTTTAAGTGAGTCGTATAACTGCGAACTATCCATGCGTTATTTCTTTCATGTTTATTATGGTTATTTGCCCTCATTGAGTCTGTGTAACTCACCTCCCCTATTATTTAATGTTTACAAATAATCAAGTAGCAGAGTTACAAGTTACTGAGAACATCAATCCACCCCAGTAGAATCTCTATTGGTAGGCCTCCATTGTCTTGGCGGCCTTGATACTTTTCTTTTTCTTTTTGTTTGGACATTTGTAGCTGTTTTGTAGTTAAAATTTTATTTTGGATACATATTAGATGTTTTAGTATGGATATTATAATTATGTTAGAGTTTGATTGGTTTTGGTTGAATTATAAATAAATATAGACAAACTGTTATATTTTGGAATAATAAAAATAGAGAAAGAACTTTGTCAAAATTTTGTCCAACTTGTCATATTGCTTAGTCAAAGAAGTTTGTTATCTTATGGGGTGATTTCTAAGTAGGCTTGCCAAGTTAAAGAGTGTTTTTAAATAACTTAGCTTGTGAAGGATTTATAAGTAATAGGTTGCATCTTGTATTTAGAGATTGGTAGAGGTTTTGTTATTGTAAATTTACAATAGATTATAATGATGTATCAGTTAATATATTTAAAGTAGAAATGGACTTAGATTATAGTATTTCTTTTGGGTATCCCATGCATCATAAAATTTGTCATACACTTAATCTTTACATATATCGAGGAACGGTCCGGACGCCAGGTGTGATGAATTACTTGTACACCTTTCTCGACCATGACTACTTAGGAAGACCCACTCAATTTTATGAACCTGAGTAACAAAGATGAAAGTTTTAAATTTATCTGAACTTTGCACTTGAATATAAGTGAACTTAATTTAATTCCTCTTTTTGATATAAAATTATTTTTTTAAGTTGTATAAATAAAATAAGGACTTTACATCATGAACAACGACTTAGACATCTTTTTGACACATTTTGATACCTTTAATCTTGATTTAGGCCAATTACTGATAAGTACTAGAGTTTTGGGATAGCGTCTTGGAATTAAGAGTTTTTTTCATCTCTTCTCTATTAGAGACTCTTCTAATTTGCATTTACTTTTTGAATAAATATGAATTAGTTTATTATTATTTTGATTTTCTGTTATATGTCTAATTAATTTTATAGTTAAGGCTATGGTAAATCTTTTACATGACTCTATAAGATTTTTGTGACTAATGATAATTTTATGTTTCCTATATAGATTGGTGTTTATCCTATTGCATTATATTTATATGTTCATAATTGACAACTCTTAAATATATCATAATTAATTATATTATAGATGACCCATATAATTAATAGATTTATAAAATAAAACAAGATAAATGATTAGGTAAATTAAATTTAGTTCTTCTTTTTTAAACGTTAATAAATTAAAATTTGATTTAATTTCCTAAATATAAATTCATCAATTTACTTTTTAATAATTGTTGATGCTTTTAATAATATATAAATTAAATTATTTTTAATATGAAATTATTTTGTAGAACCATTTTAAAGAAAATATGTGTATTAAATGACTACTTTCATTTTAATAATTTACATATTTCTATATAGTAAAAATATTTTCTAACAACGGTTAGAGATATACACTTATAAAATGCTTAATTATTTTTTAATTTTTTAAAAATTATAGTATATTTATTTCATTATATTTTAATGGATACAGCTTTTATATAAAATGATTTTTTATTAAAAAGTATAAAAGAGATAATAAAATAAGATTGATTTACTATTTTTAATTAAAGTAAAAGTGAAAATAAAGATTCCAACCATTAAATATAATATAAATGACGTTTACTGAAATTAAATGTAATATTAAATTTATATTGATTTGAACTGAATTATAATATATTTTTATAACTAAATTAAATAACTTTTTATGTAAGGGTTTATGCAACCCGAACCACAAATTAATAGTCATTCTTCAAGAACCTTTGGCTTTAAACGGAAATGGGGCTGCGTGCATATGTGAGCACAGAACCAAATAATCACTCCATGTCTATGAAGGGACAAAGAAACAAACAGATAAAAAAATAAAATAAAGCAGCAGCTTCATAGTCACGAAGAGTTGCCGCAAATATCCAATCAAGGAAGAGTTGCAAATTAGTTGACACGATAGACTGTGACTCCGCCACTACTATTAGAAGACGAGTTTATATTGTTCACTTCTTATCAATTATTGGTTTGTTCAATGATGAATGTGCAGTGACCAATCACATTTCTAATACATGGAACGATAAAATTTAGATACAAATATTTGATATTTTTAGTATTATTTTTAATAAAAATTAAACTTTATTTTAAAAATCATGTTAATTTTAATTTTTTTATTTTAGTTATTAAAATAAAACTTTATTTTTAATTAAATAATAGTATTAAAAAATCTAAAATACTATATTTAATTTTTGTTCGGTGTGTAATGAAAATCTTTACCGTAAACGAGGCAACGGGTGAAATTTGTATTTTTGAGCAATCGAGTTGTTTTATTAAATGAGTATTTATTAATAAAAAATACATGAAAATTATTTTATAAAAAATTAAAGGGAAATTATTTTTATAATTTTTTATAAAATTTATTAAAAATAAATTGAAGAGAAATTGTAAAAAAAATTATAAATCACATTCACGAATTTAAATAAATCCTTTTAATTTTTTTAATATAGTAGAGGGTTTTGCATCCATATGGAGCTAAAAAATATACCCTAAAAGTTTTGTGAAATTTTTTAATTTGTACAATATTGTACACAATAAAAAGTTATATAATAAAATTTTATCAAAAATTATAAAAATTAATATAATTTAATACATTAATATTATTAATTTTATAATTTTTTATAAAATTTATTATATATTTTTTTTTCAGTACAATATTTTGCAGATTAAAAAATTGTTATAATAATTAGTTAGCTTGACAAAAAGTTTTATAAAAATTACTTAGTTATAAAAAAATTATTAAGATAATTTTGCTTCAACTTTAATATATCATTTTCTTTCTAATAGGTTTGTTTTATATTTCTTTAAATTAACTTATTTAAACATGATTGTGTTATCCAAAAATTGAAGATAACTCAAATAAATTTAAAGAAAAAATTCTAAATAACAATCAATTTAAATATTTATGAATACATAAAAGTTAAATTATCATTGGATATGATTATATAACTTATAAACACTATTTAATAATAATAATAATAATAATAATAATAATAATTTTTTATTCAATTTTGATTAATTTTACACACTCTTAAAGTTATATAAAAATTGGCACCATAATTTTACTTGGATATGAATTTAATTTGTTAAAAAATATGCATTTGGTGTACTTCAAATAAAAGAACCAACGAATGCCATATTAATTTCATTATATCAAACTTAGAATATATTCCATTAAATCTTCATCAAATAACTCTAATTTGCTAAAATTACCCAAGATACCCTTTTTTTATGGTAGACAAATAAAAGATATAATAATAATATCAAAAGAAAGAAAAAATGAAAAAATTATACATATACATAAAGGGGTCAAAAAACAAAAGACAATATGTGGCATATCCTGGACCATTGAAAATGGCACTTTTTGCTTGCATGTACTTTTCGTTTGTTCCCATCCTCCCTTTCCATTGTTCATTATAAATAATTGTTACACTTTGTTTCTGATTGCAAACACAACACTATTATAACTGTAATCATAACGGCTGTATAAATAGTACACTACCCAATACTACACAACTGAAACCGCACCACTTCATTTGTGCTCTTATCCCTTTTTCTCTTCTGTATTAACATGGCATACCTGAACCACACAACCTCGGTTTCTCCTCCTAAAACTGAACATGAAGCTGAGGAAGAGCATCCTAAGAGTCATGGTTCCTTCCCTTCTTGGCCTCATCACATAGAGAAAGTTTTTCCCATTTATGCCATGGGAATTCCCAACTCTGTCTTGGATTCTTCACTTCACCATTTGGATTGTCCTGATCCTATTTGGGAGGCTGTAAGAGAAGAAGCAGATTTGGAGGTATGCATAATTTCTTTGTTGCTTTTTATGAATAATTTTTCTCCACTTTCTTGGTTGGTTGCATTTTCCAAGTGTTTTAAAATTTGGGTACTGAGAATTGGTGAGAATAATTGCTGGGTTCATGAATTGTTTGTTATGTTCTTTTTTCTTCTCTGAGTGTCAACTGTAATTATATTATAAAATATAGATGCAGTTGGATGCTTCATTTTATATTTTATGGATGAGGATATACCATTATTGGTGTGCAGGCTCAAAGGGAGCCAATTTTAAGTAGCTTCTTCTATGCAACTATTCTATCACATGATTGCTTAGAGCAAGCATTGGCTTTTGTTCTTGCCAATCGTCTCCAAAATCCTACTATTTTGGCAACTCAGCTGATGGATATATTTTGTAATGTGATGAAGCATGACAAAGGTATCCAGCAATCTATTCGCTTGGATATCCAGGTAATTAGTGTCCTTCATATATGATTTTCAATATTTTTCATTTGCTGTATAATGATTTGATGTGATTCATAGTTGTACTGATTTCTGACCAGGCATTTAAAGATCGGGATCCAGCTTGTTTGTCATATTGCTCAGTTCTTTTATATGCGAAGGTAAATCTTGTGGAAAATAGTTTTATGTTTCAAGGGTGTCTACACTGAGAGAGAAGGAAATAGAAGAGATACACTTGATAGATGTGGTGGGTAATATGATATGATAGAAAGAAAGGGATAATTGATGAATGAGGTGACATGAAACTAAGAGAGAGATGAGAAGTACTAAATAAGTGTTAGCACTACTTGCATGTCTAAAACTCAGAAGTTGAAATTTTTTTGTTTTTACTCACCCGAGTTTCTACCAGTGTGCACTTGACTTGCTTTATTATGTTCTTTTTTCTAACCATACAGTATATTATGTGAAGAGATTCAATTGACATCTCATTCTTCTAGAAAATGAAGGTTAGGAAAATGCAAACATTTTTATGTATAATTTTGTGTTAGCCAGACATGATTTTATTCAAAAGGAGTGTCACTCTGTTGCCTAATTACATTGCTAGGACAAGGGTACGGCTACTAAAACTTGTTCATTATATGTTCAAGCATTTGATCGAATAGCATGGTGTTGTCAGGGAAATTCAGCACATTTTCTTCTAGTTTCTGTGCCTCAATTATTTCTCTTTTGTTCATAGGATTTATTCTCTGGCAGGGTTACCATTCTTTGCAAGTATATCGAGTAGCTCATGCTTTGTGGGACCAGGGACGCAAAGTCTTGGCCTTGGCTTTGCATAGTCTAGTTAACGAGGTAATATTGTACTTGGTTAAAAATTGAAAAAAAGAAATAACTTAGGGAAAGTGAATGAATTCATATTGATAGTAAAAGTTATTTATACACTTAGTATACACATGTACACTTCCTTGAATATTGATTACATCGTAATAATAGAATTGGTTAAAACGTTATCAGATAACACATGAAGCAGTTTGAGTGTCAGTCGTGAATATAAGAAATAAATAATTATTTAAATACATTAATTATTAATTATTTAATGCTTTTATTTATTATGAGATTTATATTTTTAAAATATTTATCTTTTATATGTATAAATAAACATATTTTTTATTTAATATATAAATACCGGTTAATACTATAAATGCTTTAAAAAAATAAATTTATAATATATTATTTTGATCAATTTTAATAAATTAAATATTATTTCTTATAAATAGAGCAATAAGTACTGCACAAGGTTATTTCAAGTTTTTTATGCTAATGATCCAACCCATTTTTCCTCTGCTGCAGGCTTTTGGAGTTGATATACATCCTGGTATGTTAGGTTTGCTTTTGCATGCAAATTGGTAGAATTATAATACATCACATCCCTTTTCTACTCTTATTGTTATTTTAATCTTTTTGTTTTTCCCTATACATCATCCATTCCTATTTCTCTCATATTTGGTAAAGTGTATGCATTTCATGTCAAAATATATTTTTTTGTGGATGAAGAAATACTTTAGTAAGAATGACTTGACAACGTTAACATTTGTTTTCTGCACAGATGGTTTGTTGAGGGTTTAGATGTCTTAATAAAATTTATAAATCTTCTTACAACATTTTTCAATTGACTTTTTCACTTAATAAAAAAAAATCAAGTAATTTTATATTTCAAAACATTAAATACATTTAAATTTTTATATGTAATAGTTGAAGAATAAATAGAAAAAGTTTATAAGAAAATGTAGCATTACTCATTTTTTTTAATATATAAAAGCATATAAATAAGTAATTTACATAATAGGACAATTAGTTTCGTCTTTAAGGTTTTTACCTTCTTATTGATATTGAAAACATTATGTTAATTCCATTATTAAACTTCACATTTTTATGGTTTATTATTATATAGCTGCGAAAATCGGGGATGGAATTTTAATAGATCACGCTACAGGTGTTGTTATTGGTGAAACTACTGTTGTTGGAAACCGAGTTTCACTTATGCAAGTGAGTGATGTTTCCCCATTCATATTTTTTACGATTATCTTTTACTAATTTTTTTCTCAAATTCAATTCGATTACAAAAATCAATTTTTTTGGTGTTCTCTGTTGTGAATAAGTTTTCAGAGTTTATGTGATAACCCATTTTAGCTTCTCCTTTTATCAATTTTTACACTGTTTTGCAAGATAAATCCGTTTGAGAAATTCGTTCATAAAATTCTTGTTAGAATAAATTCCATTTGGTAGATTGCAAAGTCGCCATTTAAGTTTTCTACATATTGATCATTAAATTAATTTTTTAAAGATGTAAAGTGTTACTCTAATCGTCTGAAAATTTTATTACCTGAATTAGTCTTTTAAATATTTAATTTGTTTTAAATTCTTATAATTATGTTATTTAAATTGTCTTTTTGTGTCTTCATTTTAGTTTTCCATAAGAATCATAGAATAAAAATTTATATATTTAAATAATTGTTTTGATGACCAATTTTTAAAGTTTAATTTTTTTTCTTATTATTTAGTTTTAGTTTAATTATAAACATGGCCCCCATACTATTTATTTTATTTTATTTTATTCTTGCATGAAAAGAATTTACATTTTAACTCATGAAAAATTATTTAAAGATCAACCCTTATTGTTTATCAAAGTATATATAAAAAAGGGGCTAAATTTGCTCTTTATATTTTAACACGATTTTTCATTATAATACCAGTATTTAAACTTTATTTTGATTATACTATAATGCCATTATTACTTCAATAGAAGATGAGGACTAATTTATAATTTTCTTGTACTATATTATATAATTCTTTTATAAGAACTAAAATAACAAGCAAGTTAGAGATTGAAATTATGAGTTAATATTTAAATTTACTTTTTGTCATGGAATAGAGCTTTTAGGAATTTAGGACATTAGTTAACACATGTTATATTGAACAACATACTCATTACGCTAATTCAGTGATATATTATTTTGATAGGGTGTAACTTTAGGAGGCACGGGAAAGGAAATAGGTAATCGCCATCCCAAAGTTGCCGAAGGTGTGCTAATTGGAGCTCATGCAACTATACTTGGAAATATAGTAATTGGTGAATGCGTGATGATAGCTGCTGGCTCCCTTGTGTTAAAAGAGGTCCCTCCTCACAGGTAAATATTTATTAGGAAAACGTTTTATGTATGTTTTTAGGACATAATTTAGTTTCTTTTTTAGATTTTTGAATAATTATATGTAGAAAAGATGAAAAAGAGGTAAAAATATACAATCATTTAATATATAATGTTTATTAGTACATGCAATTTCTATCAGATTTATTTGAATTCAGAGCGTCTCATGTTAATAAGTAACATAATATAGTTATGTTGAAAAGAAAAAATGTAATTTATTTATCAAATATGGACTTACCTTAATTAATTATAGCTTTTACTAGTTAAATTGATTAAAAATTGTCTTTTTTTAAAATTAAAAAAAAAAAACATGAACATATCGTGCTCAATTTATTATGTATAACAAGGGTTGTTTCTTTTGTTAAAGCATTGTGGCAGGTGTGCCAGCAAAGGTTATTGGACGACTGCATGAGCATTATCCATCTTTAACCATGAAGCAAGGTAAAACAACCATTCCAATGCCTTACCATTGAGAATTTCCTTTCTTCTCAAGTTTATCATGATGTGGCTTAAAATTGATTTTGTAAGATTTTTTCTGCATTTTACCCAAAATATTATTATAGAGAAATTTCATTCAAGTTATTGACACTTTGAAACAAATGGACAGATGAGAACAAGCATCTCTCAAGCGAGTTTTTCAACAAACTAACAGAGATGAAGTCGCAGAAATTAAACGTAAATTGAGGTACCGAGAAAAGTAAAGAGACGAGGGAAGAGAAGTGCAAATAGTGAATTATAATTGGTTGAGCCACTAATGTCACCTGAGATTTTTCACCAAAAATTTCAAGCTTCAATAAGTGCTTGGTACATTTACAACTTTGGAGCACAACTCAGACATGGGAAGTCACATCCTTAGTATTTGTGTCTTACAAAAAAGGATTCCTCAATCTTTACACTTCTTAAGGATACATTATCCTCTTCTAATAAATTTCGAAGAAGGTGGCATTTGAGTTCTTTCAACAAATTACAAATTGAAGCCCAATAAGCAGGAATCAGTAAGCTCACTTAAGTTTTAAAACAAGAGAATAATTGATCGAAGGGATCGAAGGATGTAGGTCGAAAAATGTTTTAACCTTTCATCTGTTATAAGTATTTGTATTTACAAGCTATTATTTTGTTTATTGTTCATTTTTAAAATAAATAAAATTAATAAATTAGTTTTCTAATTTTTTTTCTATTTGTTCTCAATTTTTCTTTTATTTTATTTTACTCCTTTAACTTTTAATTAAGTTTTAAATAAATTATTTTTTTATTAATAAAGTTAAACTTTATCAATTTTAATATCTATTAACTATATTTCACTCATCATAGTTTATGTCTTCTTCTCATACTTTGTTCCTTATTCCTCATCTATCGTTCTCTTCTTACATTGCTTACATATTCTTTTCTTTGTCATTTATCCTTTTCCATCCTCCTCCCACCATCATTGCATTAATATTATAAGCTCTTTGTACTACATGCTACAAGTTTCTATCTCTCACCATCATTACCCAAATACTACGAGGAAAGCATCCTTGCTCATTATTGCATTGATATATAGAAAGTCACTACAATTAATATTTCACGCCAACAATGTTAGATTATTTTAATAATCTATATATTAGTCTATATAATTTATAGCATGATTCTAATTAAAAATTTAATGTAATAGTTATTAAATATAAAATATAGAGTCAGTGGAGTATAATTGTGATAATTGTGAATACAATTATAAAGAAACTCTCATCTCTTCCTTCAGATAAAATAAAAGAGCAGTTACTAAAATAGAGATTACGATCTCTCCCTTTTCTTACACTTACAATAAGCAATTTCTCTCAACCATAAGAGAAAAACTAAAAGAGTTAGGAAAAATAGCAACATATAAAAAACATCAAAGGGAGGTCATATCAAACCATTATGGATTCATGTTAGTGTTTCTCTAAAGACTTGATTCTGTGAGAATTTATAATTGTGTGAGAATCATGGAATTCAAGGTCAATGGAAAAAGTAATTTCATAATAGAGAAATCAAAGATGGAAATTACTTAATGGATTAAATCTAATAGTTGATATCAGAGCTATTAATGGTGAATTTCATGATTCTCTATAAAAGATCAATTCTCCATTAAGATTTTTTCTAATTTTCATAAACCCTGGAAAAGGAATTTTGAGGATTAGGGTTAGCCAAATAATTTTGATTATAGGTTTGATTGTCATTATCTCATTGTTGTATGATAGTTTAGGATTCAATAAATGAAAATTCTAAGGTTTTAGAAGTTAGAAACATTAGGTCTTGAATCTATAAAGCGATGAACATGGTAGTTTGTGAAGTATAGACTGTGCATGGCCATGCATAAATGAAGCATGGCCATGCTTGAAGGGTAGCACAACTATGCTTGATTATCTGGCATAATCGTGCATTAAGGAAAAGCACAGTCGTGCATGATGGAAAGCACAATTGTGCTTCATAACAAGAGGCAGAACGAATTTCATAAAATTTATAGATAGTTATAGAATTAAATCAAAGTAGATTTTTTTAGTCACCAAAGTAATTGAATCCATAAGTTAGTTAATTTTGAATTACATGATCACAATGGATTGTTCACAATTTAATGTTTAATTATATAGGTAGCTTGTTAGTCACCAAAGTAATTTGACTTTGAAATATTGTTTAAGCATCTAATTGTATGTTATAAATTGTTTAAAACTGTATGATGCTATATGGTGATATAAAATTAAGGATAAACAAGTTAGCTCATTAATTATAAAGTTAGGAGATCACCCAAAGATAGATCATTGCTTATAATTAATGACATTAAAGAGATATGTAGGCATTTCATAATATGTTTGTATATCCAAAGATGACTTGTATATTTGTTTGAGTGACTGATTGTCTATTAAATCTTGTTTGGTTTAGTATCATTATAGATAAATTATATATTTGGGTATTGCCCAAAGATGAAGTTAGATGCATAATTGTTGTTGGTTGATTATTTAAATCTATTAAGTTTATTCAAAGCATAAATGTTAAGTGTGTGTTAAATATTGTAGTTTCTAAGAGTGTGTTTGGCATGATCAATGGCATAGTGAAGTTCAATAGACTGAAATATAATGATTGGACTAAACAAGTTCAATTCTAGCTAGGTGTTATGGACTTGGACCTAACAATCATAATAGAAGAGAAGTATGTAGCCATTACAGAGACTAGTATAGAAGATAAAGACTCTTTATGAGACTTGGGAAAGGTCTTATAGGCTGAGCTTAAGCTTGCTAAAAATGAATATGGTTGAAAATGTGAAGTCATCAATGCTAAAGACTGAGAATGCTAGAGAATTTATGGCAAAGGTAAAAGAGTATGCACAATCAAACATTACTGATAAGTTTATCTCATGTACCTTATTGACTGAGCTGACTACTAAGAAGTTTGATTGGTCACAGCCTATTCATGACCATGTGACTAATATGATTAATCAAGCAACATAGCTGAAATCAATGGACATGAAAGTGAAGGAAGTCTTTCTAGTATAGTTCATTTTGAACTCACTCTCTCTTGAATTTGGCCAATTCTAGGTGAATTACAACACCATGAAGGATAAGTGGAACTTATAGGAAATCAAGGTCATGTTGGTTCAAGAGGAAGAAAGGCTGAAAAAGTGAAAAATCACTCTATCCATCTCACATTTCATGAAGGAGGTAGTAGCAGCAAGGCTAAGATAGGTAAGAAAGACAAGAAGGATAAGACCTTATTAAAAGTTCATGAAGGTCAAATCCAGAAGGGCTAAAGATGCTTCTTTTATAAAAAGGTTGGTCACTTCAAGAAAGATTGTCCAAAAAAAAAGGTGTGGTACGAAAAGAAATGTATAATTTTTATTGAGGTACCAAATAATACTATGTTCCAGTATGTATTGAATCAAATCTTATTAAGGTACCAAATAATACTTGGTGGTTAGATTTTGGTACAATTGCTCATGTGTCACATGTAACGTAGAGATCTTTTTTTATCCAATCCATAAGTAGAATTAAAAAGTTTTTGTACATGGAGACTAAAATAAAGACACGAATAGCAGGAATAAAGACTTATAGATTGATCTTACATATTAGTTATTGTATAAATATAGAAAAGTGTCTTTATGTTATTGAATTTGCTAGGAATTTGGTTTCTGTTGCAAAGTTGGACAAATTTGAGTTTTAATTTTAAGATTGGAAATGATGCATTTTCTTTATATAAATACTCATACTATTTTGGTTCTACTACATTAATATATTGTTTATATTGTTTCAATCTTAATGTTAAATTTGTTCAATCTTTATTTCATGTTGAGAATAGTGTTAATAGTAATTTGAATATGTGTAATGAATGTTATGTTTTCTTGTAGAATCTTTATTTCATGTTGAGAATAGTGTTAATAGTAATTTGAATATGTGTAATGAATGTTATGTTTTCTTGTAGCATTAAAAGTTAAGTTACATATCCAAAGAAAGGATGCTGAGATTAATGAAAAGTGAAAATTTACCTCAATTGAATTTTGCTAACTACGATATATGTGTGAATTGTATTAAAAGAAAAAAATTAAACACACATAAAATAATCCAACTACAAGAAGTTGTCAACTCCTAGAGTTGATACACACTAATATGTGTGGTCCATTTGACATCCCATCTTGGGGTGGTGTGAAAACTAACTTTTTGCTTCCATTTTTTTAAAAAATATATAAAAATAAAATAATAAAATTGTTTTACAGAAAAATGAAATTTTTGAAAAGGATTAGTCCCCAGAAACATAAGCCTACACTATACAGGCTTAAACCCAATATCAAAAATCGATTTTAAGCATGAAAAAAGAAGAAAAAAAAAAAGAAAAGGCTCAAAAATTTGACATCTTATGAAACCCTAAAAATGTGAGATTGAAGGAGATATAAAGGACTTAAGCAAGAAATCTGGAGGGGTTTTTTTTTTTTCTTCTCAAAAAAGAAAGAGGATAGAACAATTTTTAGAGGGGGACAAAAAATCAAGAGAGCAAGATTATTTTAGAGGGGTCCAAAAAATCAAGAATGGAAGAATATTAAGAAGAGGAAGAAAACAAGGATCGAAAGTTAAAGAGAAGAAGGAAAAAAACATTATTTCTATTATCACCACTTTCCTCTACTGTGACCAGGTATTTCTTTTCTTCATTGTGAGTATAATGCTTGTATCGTTTTGTGGCTGCAAGTTTTGAAAATTATTTTTGATGAACGTGAATCTAAGATAAAGAAAGAAAGTTGAGAAAGTAAAGTTAGCTATATGATTTTTTTTCTAGGTGTGGATATGTGAAATAAGGTAAAGAAGGAAGCTAGACTTACATATACCATTATTTGTATTTTATTTTTTTATTTTTTTTTAATTTAACGTAAACAAAAGTGCAAGGCTTGAGACATTGCAACTTGCACCTTTCCTATATTCACTCGATACTTACACTGGATATGCTACACATACACGTAAAATAACTCTTTCAAATCAATGAAATCATGCTTCTTCTTATATATATATATATATGCATCACGTAAAGGACGATAAAGTAAAGAAAATTGTATGAGGCCTTGAAAATATTGCACACACCTAAAATCAAATCAAAGAAATCATTTTTTTTTAACTTCTTTTTATATATTTATTAATAGACATTAAGTAAAGGACGGGTAAAAGAAATCATATGAGGCCAACCTCACTATAATAATAATATTATTATTTATTAATCAAATTTATTTTCATGTTTATTTTTATTATTATCTTTTTGCTCATTTTATTTTTTTTACAAAAATGGAGTTCTTAATTTTATTTGTCTCATATTTTATTTATGTTAAATGAAATATGTTATTCTTTATTTTATTTTATTTTATTATTCAGTTCTCTTAATCTCATTTATATTTTTTTTAACAATAGTAATTAGGATAATAATAAAGAATGATTATAATCAATTTAATCTTAATTTTTTTTATATT